AAATAATGAGAAAACCCAGGCATAGGCTCAGCTGGGATGTGCTGACTTGTGTGGTATTGAAGGAGGCCATCTTGCCCAAGCATGAAAGATGCAGGGCTTGGGCCCAGTGGGACTGTGGAGATAAGGGTGTAGGAAGGGCCTTGTGAGAGCTGTTGGGACTTCTTACCCAGCCTCATCTCTCACCACCACCTCCTCAGACCTTACATTCCAGCCATGGAACCAATTGCAAACTTTGCTAATTCCTTCTGTTATTAGAGCAAGAGTGATGGCAGACAACAGACCCAAGTCAAACCAGTGTAGGGATCAAAGGGAACTTAATGGTTCATACAACTCAGAAGAAAAAGATGGTTACAGGTGCTGTTCCCTCTACCTGGAATACCTACACACCCCTGCCCACATGGCAAATCTCTGCTTTTCTGTCAAGATCCAGGCCTCCTAGTACACGCTTATCCACACCCACCACCAGAGTTGAATACACCTTTAGTCCACCTTCATACCTTGTACATGCTTCTGTTATTTCACTTACTCAGTGGTGCATTTTGTGATTCCTAGTCCTGTAGAATTACATCCAACTCCTCTTGGACTGTGGGTTTCCTGAAAGCAGGGATCATATCCCTGTCATCTCAGGGTCTCTGGCCTCTACGGGGGAGTTCAGCCCACTCTCAGGGCCCGAGAACTGCTGGTAGCCACATCCTTGGATGTTAGGGTGACATCAGGGCTTAGCCATTCCTTGACTGGATATCTCTAGAGAAGCTGAGGTGCTGGGTATGGAGGGAGGAACTTCATGCCACACTTCGCCTGGCTCAATCACTAATTTCTCTGCATTCCTTGCAAATCCCTCATACTGCAAGCTGTCAGGGAGGACCCTGTGTGTTCTATGTGGCAATGAATGGCAGCATTTGAACTGTAACAAGTGCCTGGCTTGCCCAGGTATATCACTCGTAGAAAGTGTTTATTTTTTCACATATTATACCTGAGACTAGTAAGAAATCATGAGTTCCATCTTGAATTCCCTGGGGTTAAGACTTTCTTAACGATGCTAACATCTCCAGGAGTATAGAACATGTTGCCTTGTAAGACAGCCCCTAGTTGTTAGTGGCCACATGATATCTCCTGGTAATTCTGGCTGTCAGACTCAGTTCTCTTTGCTAGTACTACAAATAAAGAGATCCTGCCCTTTCCCAGTGGTCATTTCACTTCATTCTCATTCATTTATTCACTCATTTGTACATACATTGGTTAATTCAGTCATTCATTTTAAAACATTGGTATGGTCTATTTTGTTGAGGACAGGCAAGTCCTCTATTCCCATTGAGCTGTCATCTTTAGACAGAAGAGACAGCAATAAAAAACTAAACAGATAAAACAGGAGAAATAAAATTGCCACAAGAGCTGTGAAGAAAGGAAAATAGGGCACTATGGGGTTTGGGTCAGATTTCAATAGAGTAAGCAGGGCAGGTGTCTTTGAGGAAATGAATCCAAGCTGATGAGTAAGTGAGGAAGTTGAGGCCCCCTGGCACCATTTGGGGAAGAGCATACAGGGAGAGAGTTAAAAGAAGAGAAGGTTTCAGTGTGGTTCAGGGAAGATGAGGGAGGGAGAAAGGTAGATTGTGAGGATGGAGAGGTGGGCATGGCCCTTGTTGCCATGGTAAACTGCCTAGAATCTGTTGTCAGAAAGAGGAAGCCTTCAGAGGGCTTTCAGCAGGGAACGGCTATATAATTTTGGAAGAGCACTTTGAATATAGCATCTTGAGGTAGATTTCCATATCCTTAGAGACAAAGAGGAAGTGACCACTACTTTTATTTCAAGAAATCAGAAAGATTCCACTTTAGAGGTGAATTCTAGATGTCCTGGAGAGAAAGTGCATCATAATATCTGGGACTGGAATTGGGGTCTCCCAAGACAGGCCCTCAGATACTCCTCTTGGAAGATGGTCTTGGAAGGGCACCCTCTTTTTCTAGAGAGCCAGCTTCCCTCCCCATTCCTCCTCCCGCCCCCCTCCCCCCCCCACCCCCCACCCCACCCCCCACCGGCCACCAGGCTGTCTCTCTCTTATGAGTTCTCCATAAACAGTGAAAAAAATGGCAGGCTAACCAGCATGAGACTTTTAATTATTTCCTCCTGGGCAGAGTGGAGTTACCCCTAGTGAGGCACCAAGTTTGCTGCCACTGTTTTCTCTGGGGGAAGCCATGCTGCTGCGTGTAAGAGGTGTCTCACTGTGAGAACCAGGGCCCTGGAGGACCCTCAGATCATCAAAGCAGAGAAGTAAAAAAAAAGGAGAGATGGGTCGCTTTGACTAGGAGGAAATGGAAAATGCATTTATATGGTTTTTTGAAGGTGCACAGCCATAAAAAAAAAAAAGCAAGCAAACAGCTAGTAAAAGTTTTGCTACACAGGATAGTGTGATAAAGATAAAGGGCAGCATCCTATACACAGAACTCATGTCAGTAAAGATATGTGAGCAGAATTTTACAGAAAAGAAAATGCAAATGGTTAATGGAAGTACTCAGATTCACTAAAGTCAGAGAAATGCAAGCTGAGACAGCTGTGGGGGATACAGAGCATCTTGGGGAAAGTTGCTTATCAAGTTTAAAAAATGTATGTTTTTTAATGTATGTTTTTAAAAAACTGCTATGCTAGTGGAGCTGCCGTGATATAGATAGACACTGTTATGTGCAACAGGTAGCAGACACCTTTAAAAGGGGGCATGTTTGGGTACTTAAAAGAATAATTCATACCCTTTAAGCCAGTAATCTCACTTCTTAAAATCTGTCTTAAGGAAATTGTTAAAAAAAAAAAAAAAGGGAAGGCATTGATTTGTGTGCAAAGATATATGTGTGTGAAGTATTGGAAGCAGCCTACTTGATAATAGTGGATGGTAAGTTGACTCAGTTATGGTATATCCATTCAGTAGACTGTGCCCATTAGAAAAGGTATTTTTGAAGATGTTTTCTTAGTAGGAGAAATGCTCATACTAGAATATTATGTGGAAAATAGAAAAATAATAATTAATAGAAAGCATGAAGTCAATTATGAGTATGAATGCATATTCTATAGATTACAAACTGAGGGCTGATGGGGTTCGGGGACAGGGGAAGGGGTGATGGGCATGGGGGAGGGCACTTGTGGGGATGAGCACTGGGTGTTATATGGAAACCAACTTGACAATAAACTCTTTAAAAAAAAAAGTAGATCATTGGATTGTAATGTACATATAAGGAAGCACTTAAAAGTTTTTTAGGGATTTTCCCAGAGTTGAGAATTACAAGTAATTTTGTTGACATCTTTGTGTTTTCAAAGTTTTTTTTCTCTTTCACACAATGAACACGTATTACTTTTACAATCGGATGAAAGCAGAAAATGGTTGTATTTTGTTAGTCCTCTGTATTGTCATCAGATCCCTGTTAGGGACACACCACCCTCCCCTTCTTTCCTTCCTTCTCTGTTGCTGTAAGAGCCAGCATAGTGGCACACAAAGAGCAGGAAAGCCAGAGGACAGACCTGAGTGTGACCTCCCACTCTGGCATGGTGTTTTGCCTAGTGTCCTGGGACACATCACTGCCCTACTGTGGGCCTCAGTTTCCCCACCTGTAAAATCCATTGGGTGGACTGGTTCAGCTCTAAGAAAGCAATAAGGATATAGGCATAATAATTCCAGGCTTCTAACCCAATTCAGACCCTAACTACAGAGTGACATGATTGACCATTTCCATGAGCCCCGTGTCAGCCATACCCAAGAGGTAGCCATCCACATGGCTCCCATGGGGGAGGCCCTTGCCATTTCCTTTAGGGACGAGGAGGTAATGTTCATGTACATCATTCATTCCTACAACACATACTAATTACACCCCATGTATGCTCCATGGTGCCAGGGCCTGGGGTGTGCAATGAGACCCAAGCTCAGAACAATTTGGGAAGTTTCATTCAAGCTCAAGTTAGGACAGCCACTGGGAATACAGTCTTCACAAAGAGTAGAGTGCTCCGGTAAGGGACATTTGATGTAGAGTTATATCCTTCTTTTTTTTACATAAAATTTACAAATTATTAGACAAGGAACATTTCAGAAAGTTGCAGGCTTTATCTTAAGTTTTAATAGTTGCAGGGCTGTATGACTTTAATCTTATGGGAACCAGGGAATTTTCTTACTTTTTTCTATGTTTTGTGTTTAGAATGCTCTTTTTGGCTATTTTCTTTAACAAAGCAGATGTACCCAATGTGCACTCAGGGCAGAAACAGAGCCCATGTGTTGAGGTTTTGCCGAGTCATTTTGACCTTGGTAGATGTTAAAGTATAGCTTCCCTGGGAGCTTCGGAGCAAACAATCGTTAAAAGTTGAAAATTTCCAGGACGCCTGGGTGGCTCAGTCGGTTAAGCTTCCGACTTCGGCTCAGGTCATGATCTCACGGTTCGTGGGTTTGAGCCCCGCGTCGGGCTCTGTGCTAACAGCTCAGAGCCTCGAGCCTGTTTGGGATTCTGTGTCTCCCTCTCTCTCTCTCTGCCCCTCCCCTGTTCACGCTGTCTCTATCTCAGAAATAAATAACAAACATTAAAAAAAAAAAATGTTGAAAATTTCCTTTATCAGTGCTCATCTGTAAAATGGAGTTTCTGGCAGCAATGGCCACGTCCTCAGGCAGTTATGAGGATTCAGTAAGGCAATTCGTGCTGCCTAGTAAACATGGCAGTATATTCACTGAGTTATTTGATACATTTTCCTTTGATTGTAAATGAATGTTCAATGTAGAAAATCTAGAAAACCACCTAAAAAGGAAAATAGATAAAATATGAGTTGTTTTCAGCCCTTTTATCCTGTAGCTGCTGTATGTTTCTATCCGACTGTCCCCCTCCACCCTCCCCCACCCCCTCCCCATTCTGAACCGAGGGCTCCCTGCTGGCAGCGACCCAGCCAGGTCAGCGCTATCCCCAGCAGGCTGTGACCCCATGCCTTCGTGTTCCATCAATGCCCAATGTAGTAACACTACTGCCATCCCTTCTCTTTGCAGATCCTTCAAGCCAGACTTCATCCTGGTCCGCCAGCATGCCTACAGCATGGCGCTGGGCGAAGACTACCGAAGCCTGGTCATCGGCCTCCAGTATGGAGGGCTGCCTGCCGTCAACTCCCTCTACTCCGTCTACAACTTCTGCAGCAAGCCCTGGGTGGTAGGTGATGGGCCAGGCTGACCTAGAGTGAGGTGGGCGGCAGTGGGTGGCACCCCAGCCCTGAAATTGGCCCATCCCATCCTTCAGCATGGAGTCCTCAGTAATGAGTCTTTTTTAAGCAACTGAATAAGCAGATTGGACCCCAGGCCTCCTCTTGTAATTATTGCCTAATGAATACTATATAACAACATGGTACGATACAGTGTTATAAATAACATTAGTGGTAATATTAAGGTGCCTTACTGTTCTTACTAATATTAAATTGTATCATTTTGGTTAAGTCGGCACTATTGAGCACTTACTGCCTATCAGAAAATCGTGCTGCCTGGTGCTCAAACTATTGCTGTGTGGACATCATTACTTCATTTTACAGAAAAAGAATCTCAATTTCAGAGCAGCTAAGGAACTCACCCAGTCATGTAGCCTGGGAGGGGTGAAACCGGAACTTGAAGCCATATCTCTCCAACCCCCAACACTTGATTTTCCCTGCTTTGTGTTCATTAATTTCATTCATCCTTTGATTTATTAGAGTCTTCATTCAAATATACCTGTAAAAGAGGCTTTTCTGAGGATACCACTCCCCCAAATACTCTCAATTCCCTTACTCTGCTTTATTCCACCCCCTTCATACTTATGTCCATCTAGAATGATCTGTTTATCAATTCTTTTGTGTATTATCTGTTTTCCCTACTAGATATCATTCATTCATGCAACAAATGCTTATTCAATGCCTAGTATGTTCCAGGCACTCTTCTAAGTCCTGGGGACATGGCAGTGAGCAGATCAGACCAAAATCCCTGCCCTATGGATCTTATATTCTAGTGACCAGGGGCACATGCAGTCTGTTAATAAATATGCCCAGTATGTAATATGTCATAGAAGTGGTTCATAAGGGAAAATTTTTGAAATCTTGAAAATTTGAAAACTTTTCCAAAGGGAAAATAAAGCAGGGTAGGGAGATAGGAAATGTGGAGGCTGGGAGTATGTACTCTAGCGTGCTCTATGAAGCTCTTAGCCATCGTTTCTCTCACTTTATTTCCCTCTGCTTGACCTCCTGGTGGGAGGGCAGTGGTCAAGAACATGGGCTCTGGAGCCAGATTGCCTTAGTTCCAGGAGCCTCAATTTATGAGCTGTGTCATCTTGAACAACTTGTTCAACCACTCTGAGTTTATTTTCCATATTTTTTAAATGATAATAATAATACGGTCATCCTGGTAAGGTTGTGAGTTAATACACGTGACTGGCACAAAGTACACACTCAATATGTGACAATTATTATTATATTCATTAAGCAAATAATGAGTATCATCAAGGTCTCTGCAGAGTTGGCACTCAATGTTTATCAGATGAATATATACACTAATTTAGTAGATATGGATAGTTTTTAACCACTGTTATCATGGCTCTGGTTTCCTCATTCTACCCTGAGATTTTTGGTCTATGGCATCCCAGATCCTGGAAAGGGTCATAGAAGGTATTAGCCCACCTCTCCCCCTTTGTTTTTCCACACAGACATTGTGATGGCAGCAGCTACAATTCAGTACCACTGTATGCTGTGCTGAGCCCCTTAACATACATATTATATTTGACCTTCAGAACCACCCTGGGGAGTGGATTTTGCTAATGTCTGCATTGTACAGATGAGGAAACTAGAGCTGGGCATCTCCAAAACTCATGTGCTTGATTATAGAGTTACACACTCTCTGGACTTCAGCATCCTTATCTGTAAACTGAGGGATCCCCCATCATTTCCCATATTTCTGAGATCCCTCAAACCCTCTAACTGGACTCCATGTTACATCACAACTGCAGACTATACCCCAGGAGTTTGCAGACCAAGTCTAGTTTCAGAAAGTTCTTAAGTTACCCGTTCTCTCTGAGCCATTAGTGTTGAGTTACTCCCAAGTCAAGTCTGGTATAAGACTTGGCATGCCTTCTAGCCAATGGGCACCCACCTTAGGCCACAAATTACAGCATTCTCTATCTTCCTGATCAGAATTTCCCATGCCCTTCCCACTTATATCCAACAGGAGTTCCCTTTTGCTTTCTGGATAAATCCAAGGCTCCCAGGGATCTGTCATCAATCACCCTTTGTCTTCCTCTCTCACTGTCCCCTAATCCAGGACCACAACTCTGACAGCCATTGAGTGTCTCCAGTGCACACCTGAAGTGCCCTTCCATCTTCTCTTGTGTCATCTGCTCCAGGGAGTCACCCTGACCCCTTCTCTGTTCCTCTTCTAAGCTCCTCAAACCCCTTGCTTTCCTCTAGCAAGACACTGTTATCTCAGCCATCTGCCCACACTATCTCTTCTCAAGGCCCACTCTTCCATGCTCAGTTTGTTATTCCAGTGGTAAAGTACAGTGCTAAGAACAAAGGGAGCTTCCAAGGGTGCTAGGTGGTGTGGGCTGATGGGGAAAAATTTAAGTTCAAGGCCTGCCTTTCAGAAGCTTACCATCCAGCTCAGAGACAGTAGCGACCTTTCTCTAGAAACAAGGAAATGCTGAAGCAAGAGGAGCCAGGTGTGGAAGGGATGCAGCTCGAACTGCTGGAAAGGAGTGTGGTGGTAAAACCAGAAAAATCAGAGATGACCCTAGAAAAATGCAGGAGTTGGAATGCCAACTCTGAAAATCTGTATAACTATTGACTCCCCCTACACTTAACTACCGATAGCCTACTGTTGGCTGGAAGTTTTACTAATAACATACACAATTAGCACATACTTCATATGTGGTGTGTATTATATGTTGTATTCTTACAATAAAGTAAGCGAGGGAAAAGAAAATGTTATTAAGAAAATCATAAGGAAGAGAAAATACAGTTACAGTACTGTAATATCAGTACTGTATTTATGTTTTAAAAAAATCTGCATATAAGTGGACCTGCACATTTCAAACCCATGTTGTTCAAGGGTCAGCTATATTTATGATAAATAGTAATATCTAACAATGAAGTGCTCCTAGGGACCAGGCACGGCTTTTAATACACTGTGTATTTAATCCTTACAACATTGGATCTCTTGCTTTCTCCACTTACAAATGAGGAAACAAGTTCAGAAGCCTGGAGCAACTTTCCAGACTATACAGCTACTAAGTGGTGGAGAAATTGAATCCAGAGTCTACACCCTAAACTGTTATGTAGGACTACCTCTCTAGAAAGAAAGGCTTTGCAGACTAGAGACATGGCGTGAATATCAGCAGGTTGTGCTTGGGTGAAATGTTGAGGGGGTAGTAAATGCTCATTAAATGTAAGTGAGCTGAACTTAGTGGCCTGGCAGGAATGAAGGGCTGATGCAACCAGATAATTGAGAGGCTAAATTTCTAGCCAAGGAATCTGGTCTTCATCCTGTAAACAGGGAATAGCTACTGCCTCTCAGCTCAGAATAGTCAAATACTGGAGGCCTGGGATCAAGTGGGAAGTTCCACCATACTGGATAACAATGACTGACTAATGTTCTTCCCTCTTCTCTCCTAGTTCTCTCAGCTCATTAAGATCTTCCATTCTCTGGGTCCTGAGAAGTTCCCACTTGTGGAGCAAACATTTTTCCCCAACCATAAGCCAATGGTAAGTGCCCTTTTTGACTCTGATTATCTTAATGATATAGAATGAACACAGATATCCATGTTTTCAGTCCCTTTGGATGGAGGAGGGGGGTGAGGGGCCACTCCCTGATCACCTGGGCTCTAAGGAAGAGTTGCAACGTCCTGTGAGAATACCATGCTTTCCTAGGGAAAGAATGAACTCTTCAGGTGAAATGTTAGGTAGCAGGGCAAATGACAAAGGTGGATGGCATCTCTTGGGATATTGGGAATTTTCAGCCAACCTGGGGACAACTTGAGCTGGTATTTTGGAGCCAAATGTTGATAATAAAGATAAAAGATGTTTCAAAGGTTGGATGTTGTTTCCCTTGAGACCTGGGCAGAACCTGATTCCAACTTTAATAAAAGCTGTAATGCTTTGTTTGCATTGGTCATCGAAGGGCACTTTCCTTGTGTATCCCCTTTGCTTTCTGACTTGTGGATGTACCTGAGGTCATCTCTGGGAAGCAGTTGGAGCTTAGCTTGGAGCTCATGGCAGAGCCTCCCATTCATAGGACAGCTGGGCGGGAGGGGTAACGTCTTCCTGAAAACGTGGAGAACTCTTCATCCCACAGCCAGAAGAAGTTGGGTGGAAGATTTCTGGGCAGCTGGAAATAGCCTGTAATGTATCTGATTGTGTGTTGGTGGTCTTCTTAAACTGGTCAAAGGAATTCAGGGCCATGTCCCCCTGCTTGCCATGTAAGGATTGTGAATCTTGAGGAACAGGGAGGTTACTAAGGTATTCGAATGCCCCAGCTAGGGACTGTGGCCTGTTTGTAGCGTCCCAGGCTCAGGCTGCTTACCTGGAAATTCTGTTTGGAGATACTAATGGGTAAGACTGCAGGCCCCATGTGGGAGCAGTCTTAACAGGCCAAGAGGTTCTCCACTGATTGTCTTTCCCTTATATCTGAGCCAATGAGAGTCATAGAATCCAAGATATGCTGGTTGGAATAAGTGGTAAGTGCAGGGGCGCCTGGGTGGCTCAGTTGGTTAAGCGTCTGACTTCGGCTCAGGTCATGATCTTGCAGTTCATGGGTTCAAGCCCCGCATCAGGTTCTGTGCTGGCAGCTCGGAGCCTGGAGCCTGTTTCAGATTCTGTGTCTCCCTCTCTCTCTGCCCCTCACTCATGCTCTCTCTCTCTCTGTCTCAAAAATAAATAAACTATAAAAAATTAAAAAAAAAAAAAAAAAGAATGGTAAGTGGAGGGGCACCTGGGTGGCTCAGTCAGTTAAGTGTCCAACTCTGGCTCAGGTCATGACCTCACAGTTTGCGGGTTCAAGCCCTGCATCAGGCTCACACTGACAATGTGGAGCCTCCTTGGGATTCTCTCTCTCCCTGTCTCTCTGCCCCATCCCACTCCTCCCTCTCTCTCTTTCAAAATAAATAAATAGAATTTTAAAAAACAGAAGGATAAGTGCAACCTGACATATCCCAACAAAGTATGAACACTGTAGAGAAAATTCAAGAATTATCATCAGGCCAAATGAATTTGAATCCTAGTCTGCAACATACTAGGTCTTGAGCAATGAATTAACCTTTCTGAGTCTTGGCTTCCTCAGCTAAAAACTATGGATGATAGTGGGACAACACCATTGAGTTGTTGAAATTTACTGTAATCACGTAAATAGAGTGCTGTGCCTGATATATGATAGGTGATCAAAGAAGATTAGCTTAAAATAGGGACAAAAGCTATACCCTGGAACATTGTCAACAGTGGGATGAAAGTTGGGTGAGGGGTCTGCAGCCAACCCAGCTCATTGAGGATGACGGGTCCAGCTGTAAGCTCTGGGAGGGGTTCACCACTATAGTGGGACCTCTTGAGTTCCTAGCATTCTCAAGTAGGCCAAGCCATACTTGGAATTTCAGGCAGGGGTTTGGCATCAGGCACTGTTGTTTGCAGCCTTCCCCTTTCACTTTCATGGTGTGAGATGATTAGGAAGTAAACAGGGAAAGCCAAGTCAGGGCTCCAGTCTGGGAATATTGAACTGCTAATAAATAACTAGATATGGATCCAGATACTACAGAACTATGGAGAACCCTGGCCATGGAAATAGGGAGCAAGGTCAGGGCTGGATTAGCAGTTCGGGGAAATCTAGAATGCCTGCTCCAGCCTTGGGAAAGGACTGGGGCAGGGTGGGCTCAAGCCGTAGAAGTGAATGAATGGAGGGGAATGTGCATTTGCCTGTAGCCAGGCCAGGCAAGACCAGCTTCCAGGGCCCTCTTCTGTCTGTATTACCCCCAGTGGTGGTCAGGATATAGGAGGCAAGGGACTACAGGTGTGTGATAGAAATAAAACCATTTTACTGTTTAGAATAAAGGACACACTATAAAAAGTGAACATTATGCAACATTACAGACAATATACATTCACGGAATATAAAATTCATAAATAACATGGAGGAAAACTGTAAACAGTGCTACAAAATTTAGCAACAAATACATTCCTTCCAGACAGGGTTTTCTCTGGTTGGTTTCTCTCCGTCACTTCTGGGTCTCAGGACAGCAGACTGGCCAAGGGAAAAGGTGAGGGCATGGGAGGGTCTGTGAAGCCCTTCCCCTCAGAGCACAAACCGGTCTTTAAGTTCTTCCCCTCCTCATGGCTCCCAAGAGCCAATTTGGAGGCTGTTGATATCCACCTCCCCTACATTCCCGCACTTTGTTTTGTTTCTGTCATCAGATTTTTTAAGTATTTGCCTTGTGTAAAACTATTGTAGTGATATTTTTACTTTTGGTAGCCAGGAGCCTAACTTTTGGGGGCCATCTTGGGGTAATCCATATTGGTGATCATCAAACACTAGATGAAAGGCTGGGGCAAGAGAGTGTACTATTTCCTAAGGGCCACAGTGTCTCTAAAACAGAGCTGTTCCAATAAGTCATTTGTTTCTTTAATTGTTCAAGAACCATCATATGAAAAATGGGTACTCATGGGCTGTATCTCCGCTGCCATAACGTAGGTCTGGAGCTGGGTGATGGTAAAGGACAGGAGCCTCCGGTATTATCTACCCAGCCAGTTGGAGCACAGGTCTGAGAGCAGAGAGCCCAGGTGTAGTGCTTTCTGGATAGGGAAGGAGAAGAGATGGCCAAATGAGGCCAAGAGGTCTTGGAATCACAGCTCCAATGGCCCTGGGTTTTTAGGAGAAATCATGGCTTCTCAACTGGGTGGTCAAAAATTAGGGGGGAAAAAGAATGGGAATGACCAGCAGACTGCCCAGTGCCAGTTGATACAGAGCAAGGACATGGATGTACTTGCTGTTTTCCCCTTTTCCTTCCTGTTCCAGGAAGCACCGGGATGCTGATAGGGAGGGGGATGGATGAGTATCAAGTGGTAGTTCCTTCTTATTTCTCCAGTTCGCCAGTCCAGCTGCCTGCACAGTAGAAGTATTTTACCCTCCTTTCCACTTTAGAATTTGATTCAGGAAAATGGCGGCATGTGGGTTTCATTTTTTTTCTCTTAAACACAATGTACACATATTAAAGCCTACACATGACACAAGATTTAGCAAAATAAAACGTTCACGATATGATTGAAATACGGAAGTGTCTCAGCTACATAAATGACTTTAAATTATACAGTAAGTGAAAAGGTGAAATAAACAAAGCTATAGCTTATAGAAAGCTCAAAAACCGCCCTCTGCCAACATCGCTTTGCAAAGGACCCTTCTTTACCCAGGACCTGATGTTCTCTTCGTCAGGGCCTGACAGATGGGACTGTGGTTCCACCAACATTTCTGCAGGAAAACTTCAGATGATTCATGATCAGGCCTCACCCCAGTTCCCTCCTTGTGTGAGTGGAGGTGACCCATCAGGGACCAAGGACAGCCAATGCTTCATAGAGGGGACGCTGATGTCCAATTGTGGGAGGACACTTGTGTGGCTGGGTCAGGGACTCATCTTGTAAGACTTTGAGGTTGGAATCAAGAAAATCTCAGAACACCAAGGGCTTGGGCTTACCCTTTAAAGACCACTGGTCTGCTGACCTCAGCTCCTCTTGCTTACACAGCTACATTGAGAGGGCAAAGCCTCCCGATTCCCAACTGCTAAATGGCATGACCATAGGGTGAAAGGTACAAGATAATCCACTGAATACCGTGGAAACCAGATGCCTGCACTGCCTTACCACTCAGGAGTTCTGCCAAATACCTTGCCTGGGCATTTGCATGTGTGTCTGTGTGTGTGTGTGTCTGTGTGTCTGTGTGCAAGACATTACAATGTGTTGTCTATTTCTTTTTTTTAAATCCTGTTTCAATTGGCAGCTCTGTTTCCTAAAGTGGAATGAACTGAAGATACAAATACTAAGAGGATAATAGCCATAATCTGAAAGAAGAGACAGAGTGATCATGTTAATGTCACCATCCTACCACCCCCAACTCTGTAAAATATGCATTATTACCTGCTCTTGGCATCTCACTTTCAACACTTAACCTGAAAATAATTTTATTTAATCGGAGAACTTATATTATAGTTTTATTCAAAAAAACACAACAAACACCCTACAGCTGATTGCAGAGTCAGGCTTCCCTAGTGACCACCAATTTTAATCCCATGAGGTGAGGACCTCAGGAGATGGCGTGTGCCCCGCAGTGAGCTGGGGGAAGAAGAGCAGGCTGTCCCGAAATCCAGGAAAGCAGCTGTCTAGCTGAGGCAGCTTTCCCTCCTGTGCCCAGGCCCCTGACCCACACTAACTCTCATCTCCCATCTGAGCCAAGCCAGTAAGGCAGTTAAATAAAGGCCCCAAACATGAAGCAGGAGAAAAGGAGAGGGACAGAGGTCAGATGACCCCAGTTAGAGGGATGTCAAGGGTGTTCAGAATTTCAAATTTTAATTAAAACGGAAAAAAAAAGTCAACTTGGAATGTCATGATTTTCTTCAAACAAGCAACGACAACAAAATAGAAGAGATTATACTACTGGCATACTTAACAGCATTGAACAGAATTCTGTGTCCTGTAAAAAATTAGCTTATGTCCCCGTGTGGGTATATGCAAAT